GAATAAAATTATAGCTTTTAGGACAGCAATTAAATGAACACAAACAGAAAGGGTCTGATTCTACATCCATTTAAATAAATGGTAAAACTCCCATTATATTGAATGGGAGCGGGACTGGGCTATAATCAATATAGAACTATTGTTACATTTATGTAGTCATGTTGGACACTTGCATAGCAATTTAACATCAAGATTTTCAGCCCCTTCTTTTTGCATTCTCAAATTTGTGTTGTCATATCTTATGGGTATGCATCATTGTGGTGGCACTTAATATGGTTCTAATTTTATTTTGAATGACTAAATAACTTTATCTCAATAGATGAGGTAGTTCCTATACTTTATTCTAATTAGTAATGAGGAATTCCTAGGGAACACTGCAACTACTGAAGTAACATTATTTTTTTAAGGTAATTGGCAAGTTTTTAAGCACGGTCACTCTGTGCAATCATTTAATCATTAAAAAACAAGGTTTTTATTTTGGTTTACACTATTAGCAGTTTTCCTCCTAGACAAGGCAGGGAACATTCTCATTTACTTCTGTTAAGCTTTTCTGATATTAGTTTGTATTTAACATAGTAGTTATCAATATCATTGTCAGCCTGTGTCACTGTACAAAATGCTTCTGCTCTTTGGGTTGATGATTTTTGGATGGTAATTAATGACTCATCATTAAGATAACAAAAATAAATCAGAGATGCCTTTGGATTATTTATATTAAGTACAGATCACAGCCAATAAATCTGCTTTGAAGGCAAATGAATTAATCTGAATTTGTGAGTCAAAATATTAAAATGCTAAGACATATCTCCTTTATCATATGAGTCTTAAACATGCATTATGATCTGCTTGATTCAGCAAGAAGATTATTTAAATGTGCAAAATTATGTATTCCTAGAGAATGTGAGAAAGCTTCTTACTTTTCCATGGAAATATTTTCATGTATGCATCTTTAACACAGACAGACAGCAATGAATACACTACCTCTAAGTATTTAATTGTGCTTCAGACTTTTTAAAAACAACTTTTTGTCACGTATTTTGTCTTTTTCTTTCCAGTGATTGTAGAAGGTTGAATTATTAACTAAATTAATTCAAAGGATGCCTATGGAAATATATCTAACAGTGAATATTTAGAATCAGTAAACATTCTAATTGGTTACTTTATTAAAACATTTAGTTGTGTAATTAGACACAGTTTATGTTAGCAATGCATTGAAGAACTGAAATGAGGAGGTGATCTTTTCTGGCCTAATGTTATTAACTAAACAAAGTAAGTTGGACTCTCTCATCATTATATCAGATTATAAATGCATGAGTAGACATTGACATATACGTTGAGTTGGCAAAATAAAAAGCCTTTTTAGCTCCAATTAGTTCTCAGTTAAATTGTCCCAACAATGGTGTCAGGCATACAGCACCACTAAGTTGTCTTTAAACCTGCCTAATTTCCTTAATTCTCCCTTTCACTATTAATAAAAATTCAGACATGAAAGTGTTAACATTTCCTTTGAAATTACTCCTATTTAAGAAGAAAAATCATATTACTTTCTTAATCTTTCTAATTCTATTCTCATAAGATGATCTTGGATTTGTTCCTTTAACACTGACTCTTAGCACAGTCCTGATTTCTGTATTAATGAATTGAGAAGATGGCATGAGGCTCTTAGGTAAGTGCTATAAACTCAGTCATATGAATGTGTAGTAAGAGATACCATTTATAAAGAAGAAATAGTATTTTGTTCATTCTCACATCAATGTTACTTTGAAAGGTAATTAGTTAGATATTATGTAGGTAGCACACAAAAGATCATGTAGTAGTTTGCAATCTGCCTTTTGATCATCACAAGAAAAATTTCTACTGGGAAATGAAAGCCAGACATAATTCACTAAAATTACGCTGAATGCCCTTTAATCAATACAGATAAATCTAGTGTTTGTTGTTAAATCGATCTTCTCCTTTATAGAGATACACCATCTTGATTGTTTTAGGGATAATTATTTCACTGGGAATTTTTATGATGATTAGCAGAAACTAGACAACAGTAAAGTTGACTCAGATCCGGTGAAATACTGTGGTTTAGAGTGCATTTGTCTCTTTTGGTTTGAAGCTTAGGGATATCAATACTGATTTATATCATTTCATGCAATGATGTTTTCCTGAAACAAATGGAGTGAAGCTGATTTCATTTCAGAAATGAACAGCCTCTGTGTTTGTTTTTTCTTTTATAAAATTGTCAGCTCTTGCCAATATAAATATTCACTGGTGCAGACTTTCCCTTCCTGTTTTTATCACTTAGCCTGATTCCTTGACATAGATCATTTTGAAAAAGTCCAGATAAACTTTGGTGAAATATAAAAATGTTTAGACTAGAAAGACAAAGGTTGAACTAAAGGCTTACTTAAAGTGGTGTTGCTGAATTATTCCTACACATATAATAATACAACTAAAATATCAAAGATTTTAAAAAGTCAAAAGTTTTCCATTTCAGTTTCCATTTCTAAGTTAAGATACGTATATGTTTGTATGATTTTAACAAATCACCCATAACAATCCAGTACAGCAATTAAACATATAACCTAGAGAGAGAGAGTAATGAGTTTTAATATAATGAATTAGAATTTAAATGCTCATACAACCCTATTTGGAATGAAATTAAACTGTAGCACATTACTTAGAAAATATACTCTCCTGAATTTTTGGTCAAATAATAAAACACATAATATTTATATGAATGAATAAGTGGATAAGAGATATGTGGGCTTATACTTTTGCATAATATATTCAGTCATTCAAACTTTTCATTAATAAGGACATGGCAAATTATGTAATTCACTGAATATCCTGACTAGAGTATTTTTTTAATACAAGAACTGAAATTGGCAACAGTTCTACTTCTATGCAAAATGCTGTAATTCTCTAATGAATAACATAATAAAAAAGTGTTTGTTTTTTTTTAAATTATCATTAAAGCCTAATGTCTAATACTAGGTGTTTCTTTCATTTAACATCAATTTCAGTGCTGTGTTCTTTTAAATGAGCACTTAATATTATTTCTTAACACATTTTAAAGTAACAAGGAAATAAAGTTTTTAGCATGTATAAGCAGAAAGCATATTCTGTAATTGCTTATTAGCTGACTGCTCTAAAAGTGAAAATTTAATTTAAATGATCACTTCAGAAACATAGAATTCTCTGTATTTAATATTGTTTGTGGTGTTCACTAGAAAAATTCTACAGCTATATGGAAAAAAAGTTGTTTTGGAAAATTGAAATGAGTGGCAAGAGCAACAGAATATTGAATATTATCTTTTAAAACTAAAACCCTATATATTATATTAGGTAATTGGTACATACTTACATCATTAAATGGTATCTATTAACTATGAAATCCTAAATTTTCTTGTTTAAATTGTAACTTCTTGTTTATCTTGCTTTGCAGAATAAGGAATTTCTCATATAAAAGATTGTGACTTTAAGTAACTTGTAGAGAATTATACCTAAGAGTGTCTTAGATTTTAAAACACTGCTGCAGTGTTGTTTACCATGGTAAGTAAAACCTAAGAACAAGTGAACTGAATGACCACCGTAATGACTTCTAATGATGGCAGTGGAGAAAATATATTGTCAAAGTATATGATGACATTAATACCCCTCATCATGCTACAGCCATGTTGCTTTACAGGCTATGTATGGTATTGTTGTGAGACTGGAATTTATAGAATGTACTTCCATATTTGATGTACTACATTTGACCTGGCACTGTGTACAGTAGAAGGCTGCAATGTAAATCCTTCCTTAATTGCTATGACATACATATAAATGAAATTAAAATATAAGCAATTTAGTTTGGAAATTGAATATCTGTTAGAGGGTAGAAAAACATTTGTAATTCAGCAGTAAGTTTGTTAATGAAAAGCTCATTTTGTATGGTCAGTACACAAATGCTGTAAATGTGCATTTACAGCCATAAATCATTTCTATAGGTGGTATGGCATTTTATAAATTTTCACTGTACAACTTCACTCAGAATTATTTGTAGAGATGCACATGTCAATGGTTACTTTTTCTCCGGGAAAAGTGATAAGGCCAGAAGAGACGCTTTGAGGTCACAGGCCACGAGTGACCTTATACATATTAACAATTCTGCTATATATCAGTGGTCTAAGATTTCAGCAGTCTCTGGAACATTAAATCTTCCGTCATTCTCATTCTTACTGGGTTTGCTTCTGCTGAGGTTTAGTGAATTATAAACACATGAAAATATGCAGAATATATTTCTGGTTTGAAGTGATTATAATGTGATGTTTCTGCACTGCAGCATTCATAATAAAGCAAATGTGATGTATCAGTGCAATATGACATCTCAAGTAATCTTAACAAGTAAGCAGTATAAGACAAAACAAGTACTCTTTTACATACTTTACTTAAAGACACAGGACAAATGGATTTATCCCTGTAAACTTTTAAAATTCTTTTACAGCAGACATTGCCTTCAAGTTTTCAAATCTTCCTACTTTTCAGACACAGTTTTGTCAAATTAAATATCTAACATTTGTTAAGTTCTCCCTTACATATAAACAATAATATCCCAAGTAAGTTGCTACCATTTTTAATCTATTGATCATTTTGAGCACCAAAGAAGATGACTGACAGTGAGCAACATTTACGTGACACCCTTGAACATTTCACAGAGACAAGTTGATATGAGTTTGTATAAATACTAATATTAAGCAGAATTAGCTTTGGAAAAAATAAAGAAACTGTACTGAGGTGAAAATTGTCACTGTCAGGAGAAATGAAGTTATATCAGAGAACAAGTGACATACAATTTTCTCTAGAGTGTTTTTAATAAAAATAGCTTTTCTTTGAATATTTTGAAGTCAAACATGAGAGGCAATCTGTGCGTTTGTCAGAGTTTGAGAGTGTGAAAAATTGCTGCCTTAAATCATTTAAGCTGAAAAGCAACTTCTTCCTGCTGAGATAATTTCACATTGACTTACCGTGCAAGCCCTTCAGGCATTCCCAGCTCTGAGCAGAAGTTTTCAAGGTAAAAACATAGAGAGAGAACATGGGAGAAGCTGGGACAAGGATCAGCAGCAACTCCAGGCGTTCAGGCAGATCTGACTTTGATTAATTAGAGAGCTACTTTTCCATTTCCACATGTACTGCCTGATGGAAAGGTAGAGTGGACCGGGATACACAAACTTGGAGTTGACTCTGTTAGATATCAGCAGGTTTTGACATCCTCTGCAGAGCTTGCAGGATATCTGCTTAGGAAGACTAAATTGCTGGAGCACACTTTTAATTTATTCATTCCCCTAATGCAGAGGAATTGTCTGAACTGAAATAGATTTGATTTTCATCTGTGAATAACTCAGTTACTGTAAATGTTTATGTTACGTGAACAGGCAACTACAGTATTGCATAATGAAGGATCAGTTATTTGACGTTTTGTCTTTTATGCGAGTTTGTAATTAGTCCATTTCGGGTATATAAGGGATGTTAAATATCTTTCATATCAATATGTTTTCAGAGTGTGTAGGGCTTTTTAAAATATATGTTTATGCTTTCTTACAATTTAATTTGTAAAACTTGGCTGATTAGCTTTCCACTAGATTCTTTTTTAGGATAACTTTTATGAAATAACTAAATTCAGATAAAAATGCGTGCTCCCATTCTTATGATAAACTAATTTCTGGAAAAATAAAAATATTTGGAATTCTTGATTTTCAAAAACCCTTCCTCAAATAGGTTTAGAATTAACAGCATTTCAAAAAGTCAGTTTAGAAGACATGCATGCTCTTACATATACACAAATCTGTCTCACCTAAAATCTGAACTTTCTTCTTGAAACTATTCTTTTATCTGTTATAGTTTTGTACCAGTTACACCTGCCATGGCCTGATCAAGTATGGCGCTGAATGCCATCTGGGAGGTGCTGAGCCCAAACAACTCTCGGTGAAGTCAGCACCATGCTGAATCAGGCATTATGAGTATATCACTAGTGTGTTAGAGTTTTATTCACCAGTTCACAGAACCATTACTTTTTAGTAAGTTTCCTATGATTTATTCTCATTATTATATGTTGTTGATGCACAGAACTTCTACTGACTCTTTTTTAAAAAAAAAAAAAAAAACATTGTTATACAGGAAATTTGTGTCATGACAATACTGTTTTCATGACTGACTTTTACTATTGTTTTCCATTGAAGATTCTAGCCCATATTAGGCTCTGTGGCTGATGGCCACATTTCTGAAGCTGCTCTTGATTCAAGGGAATACTTCCACATTCATATGCTTATTCAGGTATTATGTGGTCACCAGTCATTGGCGCTGGACTCATGAGAATGATATTGAGGAACTTATGAGCCTGTTCAATGACTCTCTCTCTCTCTCAGGGTTTTCATGTCAGAAGAAAATTCTTCTGCATATGAGCTGGGAAAGAAATTGACAGGAGATGCAGCCCAAAGCAACTGCATCTTGTGACTTTCTTTGACTGTTGCACTGTAAGCGAGTGGACTCACACCTTCAGTGCCTCCTGCTGGTCTCTTCCGGGAATTAGCTCTGCCAGCCTTGGAGCGCCGTCTGCAGGCCGGTATCCCGCTGCTGCTTGGCCCCCGTGTCCTTCCCTGGACTCTGGTGCCCCTTTATCTGGGGTGCTGCCCCTGGCAGTACACCCCTCTGTCTCGGGGTCTCCCCTCCCTGGGGAACCCCCACCCCCTATCCCCACCTCGCCTCAGTCATAGGCTACTGCCAGTCACCAACTTGCCCCCGCACCCTGGGGCAGACTGCAGTGTCAGCCGCTCATCATAGGCAAGGTTGGGTCTGGACCTGCTGCCCCACTCTGCAACCCAGTGCCTCTATGGGGCCTTGGACAAGGCCCTGCAGCCTGGGGAGTTGCCAGCCTGGAGCTCCCCAGCCCCTCTGGCCTTTCCCCAGCCCTGCCTCACTCTAGGCACCCTGAGCTTCCCAGCAGCCAGGCCCCTCTCTCTCCGAAGGCAGAGAGAGACTGTCTCTGCTCCTGGCTTCCCTGGCCTTTATAGGGCCAGCTGGGTCTGTTTGGGGCGTGGCCACAGCTGAGGCTGTTTCCCCAATCAGCCCAGCTTTTCCCCCTGCCCCAGCCCTCTCCAGGGCTGTCTTAAGCCCTTCCAGTCAGGAGCAGGTGACCCCCCGCTACATCCACCATATAGATGAAGAGGGGCCACTTAGCATTTATCACAACTTCTGTCCTGTAAAAGCTAATGAGCATTCCGAAACAGGAGGTTTTGGTAATTGTAAGGAGCTCGTGAGAGTAATTACTCCAGTTTTAGGGATGTAGACGTTCCCCCAAGGTTGCTCACCTTGGAAAAGAGAGAAGATCGTCTCCCAAGTATAGGGAGTTCCGCAGTTGTCCTCTGAGTGTCCTCCCTCCCAGTCATTGGTAACATCAAAGCAGGAAGCTGGAAGATTTCAGACTAAACATAAACATAGGGTGCACATTTTTAACAGTGATTTACTATTGCAACAACTTACCAAGGGTTGTGGTGGATTCTCCATTACTGGAAATTTTAAAATCAAGGTAGGATGTTTTTCCTAAAATATACACTCTGGTTCAAACAGGAATTAGTTCAGGGAAGTCCTATGACCTGTGTTGTACAGCAGGTCAGATTAGATGATCACAATGGTTCCTTCTGGCCTTATACACTATGTATCAGGATGACTATTTCCTTGAACAGGAGCCCCTATCCATGATTTGGTGTCATGATCCTTGATATTTCAGGGCTTGAATGGTTCAAAGTCCACCCATGTTTACTGGTGACTTGGTACTGAGGAGCCAAATTCAGAGGTGGTATGTAAGGTGATGGTTAGATTAGTCTTGCTTAGATTCAGCTGGACTGCTGTAGACATGCTTACGGATTGGTAAATGGGTGTAAGTAAGTTAAAGGATGAAAAGATAGAATGTGTATAACCTGTTAATTGTTTTTCTTCCTAACTTCCTTTCTTCTGCCCATGGCAATGGTACACCAATATAGACTCCCTTAAATTTGCTGGACTCATTTAGTGGTGATGTATAAGTGGGAAGGGAAAAAGAAAAATTACACATTGGTGGGTATAAGTGAGTGAGTGTAAGATAGTCCAGAGGGAGCCTAGTGTGTGACATACACCTTGTGATGGCTGGAAAAGGTATAAGTTACACTGACTTAGACTCCTAGACTTATTTAGACTCACCTCTGAATTTGCCCTGTGGACTTCAAGTAACATAAAATACATAAATGAGTTGGTTACAGTGTATATTTCTCTTTATAGAATGTATTTCAATAGACAATGAGGATCCAGTCCATCACAGAGTATCCACAACTTTCCAGACCAACATATGTGCCAGACATCTGCATCACAGTAGACCGATCTATTCAGGAGAAATTTCAACCCAGTGAGGAAACCAAATCAAACCACACCTGAGGTGTGAAAAATAGTCTTGTCTGAGGGCATAATCTGCTTAAGGTCAGTAACAAAGTATGTGCTTGTTATAACCTACAGGTGAGAATTCAGGAGCAAAGATTGGGGATGTCTTTCCCAGGAAGATGTGCATTATTATGGCTGAACCACCCCAATGCTGAGAGAAATTTTCAGAAGAGTTACACCATAGATATTGGCTAAAGAAGATTGAAACTGGAGAGGGAGCTCTCACCACACCAACCTATATGACAGTGCTACCACCCCAGGAATAAAGTTTGTTTTTCCAAGGTGAAGAGGGGAGATCTCCCACTCCTTTTAACAGCGTAGCTTTCCTTTACTTTAAACCTTGTCAACACAGAATTTGGCCCATCAGTCCCCTGACATGGGGTGAGGTAGGGGGAAACTAGATTGAAATAAAAGGAGATTGACAGGGTTGATTTCCTTCCTGATCCTGATCCCACCACCAACTACTAGAGAAATGAAAGTTATTTGTGATGCTGCAATAATTCTCAGTAGTTCTGGTTTAAATGATTGTGCTATGTGGTAGATTCTCAGCAAACAAGTAGAGAACAAGACTGGAAATATGTTTTAGAGTGGTGTAGTGTACAAGTAGCTCATCAGAAATCTCTGCTCGTTATTTCTAGGTATTTGTTTTCATGTTCCATTGAATGATCATTTAAGAGAGTGTACTTGTGTTGATGCCTGTAGGGAGGAGCATATGAATATGCAAATAATAATAATATACGTGATAGATTTTGCTATTTGAATATCAATATGCTAGATATTTTACTATATGTTGTCATAGTGTAGGACCAGCTGATCACATTTCACTGAGTATTTCTATAAAAGCAGTTTTGTGATTTGCTGAGGGTCAAAGGTACACATATACACTAGCATGTATTAAAGCTGTGGAAAACATTTTCCACATAACAGACAGCTGGCACAATTTTGCCAGAAAAGCTGACACTTATGAATGAAAAATAAAGCAAACAGAAACCTGTGTTACCTTGGAGGACAATGGGACAGCTTCAGGGCACGGAGTAAATTCTGCTTGTCTTGACATGGAGACACTGGCTGAATTTTGCCCAAGAGATGTTAGCAACATTCAGATTCCTAATGGGAAGAGTGGGGAGATGGGAGTAGGGTCTTTTAGCACATATGGAAAAACACACATAGAAATGATGAAAAAATGTATTTAAGCAGCAAAAGCAGCATGTACAGTACCCCTGTAACGAAGTTTGAAGCAGGGACTTTTCTTGACAATAAAAATAATGCACACAATATTAGTTTGTTTTGGTGGGAGGGAGAATGCAAGAAAGATGGAGTGGGGGCAGGATTGGAGCCTGCGAGTGATAGCAACAACCACCAAATGAAGGATAGAGAAACAAAGAAAGAAGGAAAGAGCAGAGATAAAAGCTAGGGCAGATGCTGTTCAGTCATTGTAAAAGTTGGAGCACTAGCTAAGGTCAGTGCCCCAAGCAGCAGTGTCAATAACTACAAGTATAATAGAAGTAACGGAGCTCTAATTAGCAGCATCTTCTTCATGTCTTCTGGCCTAACCAAAGCCAGTAGCAGGGGCATCTACTAAAGACCCAAGAGATCTTCTATATATAACTAAAAGAGTCTTCTCTACAGGATCAGACCAAAGGTCCATCTAGCCCAGTATCCTGACTTCTGACAGTGGCCAATGCCAGGTGCTCCAGACGGGGAATGAACAGAACAGGTAATCATCAAGTGATCCATCCCCTGTCGCCCATTCCCATATGAGTTCATCACTGAAAGACTCAGAGAAATCACACACTGAGCCCAATGGTTTTGGTAGCCTCTAGTTAGAGCCAAATCATTGATGTCTTTTTCATACAAGTAGTCCCATTTATTAAGGATGAGTGCATAAAAATGTATTTGTTATGCATGTAAGCTTAGGCACTCACATTTCAAAATGCTGGCCTATGTGACTTGCTTAAAGCTACATAATGAGTCAGTGGCAGAGTCAGGAACAGAAACTGTGGGTCTAATTCAGCGGTGATATATAAAGGAGTGTAAGTTAGACTCCTTTACATTAACTTGTGCTCCCTTAATCCAATTTACAGTAATGCTACTGGTGTGCAAGGGAGTCTGAATTAGAGTAATTTATAAGCCAAATTGCCAGAAGAAGGGCCTTGCCACCAAAGATGTGACCTCCCTATGACATCCCTGACCGTAATGGCATCGCTGCCTGCCTGAAGTATCTACAAAAGAATGGGCAACCCTCAGAAATCTACTCCAAACACATTGCCAAAATCATCAATTTCAGCCTCACTCATAACTTTACATTTAACAACAAACACTTTGTCCAAACCATGGGAACAGCCAGGAGTACTAGACTGTCTCACCAATAGACCAGCCTCTTCATGGGCCATCTCAAGGAACAATTTCTGGGAAAATGCACCATGAAATCAGTGATATACCTGACATGCATCGATATTTTCATCCTCGGGATAGATGACCTAAACTCCCTTCTGGATTTCCATCACAACTTCAACCACCACCACCCATCCCATCAAACTTTCTAAAATACTCCAGCACCAGCATCAACTTCCTGGACACTGTGATCAGTTTTAGCAATGGAACCCTATAGACAACTATATACAAGAAACCCATAGATCATCACACTTACCTCTTCAAATCCAGTAGCCACCCCAGACACCCCAAGCAGAGCTGGTGCTAGTCCACTGGGGGCCCTAAGCAGGAATATTTGGGGGGTGCCCCAATATTAAAACAGGCAAGTTCTTATAATAAAAAGTGAATAGGCTGTGAGCTGCCTGGGGCCCTAAGCAATTGCTTAGTGTGCTTATGCCTAGCACTGGCTCTGACCTCAAGAAATTTGTAATAAACAGCTAGGCACACAGATACCGCATAACATGCTCCAAAAAGAAAGTCTGGGACACACACCTTAACACACTTGAAATCATCTTTACTAAAGAAGAGCACTCCACCAGAGTAAAAGTAGATCAAATCATGGAACAGGCCACCCAAATACTCCCAACAGAACCTGCTTCAATATAGGAGGGGGAGGAAACAAAGTCACTAACTGCACATCCCTACTTGTCTCCCCCTACACTAAAATATGGGGATATCATCAAACAATTACAACCCATATTTCATGAGGACCACATCCTGAAATAAATCTTTCCCAACCCCCTCTTCAGGCATTCAGACAACCCTCTTCATCCAAAGCAAGTTCCCCATGCAACAGTACCCACCAACTCAAAGCAGTGCCAGACTCTGCCAGAAACAGGTGGAAAACCAGAAGACATATCTCTACTGCTACGATTACCAGTACCCCTACAACACATCTTTCAAGATCAATGTGTCCTACATATGTCTATTGTAACGTGTTCCTCATCCAGTGCATCAAATGTCCCAACAACTATGTGGGTGAAACCAGACCAATCACTTTGCTCTCAAAAGAACTCACACAAAAAAAATGATAAAAGACAAAAACACCTATTATCTGTGGATCAACACTTTTCACAAAGCAATCATTCCATAATGACCTCGCAGTCTTTGTCCTCAAAGGAAATCTGCACAATACCTTCAAAAGATGAGCTGGAAACTTAAATTCAGAACTCTGCTGGCCACTAAAAACCATTGACTTAAAAGAGACACTGCTTCTATGGCCCATTACAACACCTTGTAATATGTCCTGCTGCCTACTAACCTCCATTGTCCTACGACTGCAGACGAGTTCATTGACCACTTCATTTTAAGGGCTCTCCTACAATGTGTGACCCCCTTATGCTTAACAAGATGTCCCACCTTGTATTTAGCTTGCACATTCTAGTTACCTTCTTCAGACCTGAGGAAGAACTCTCTGAAAGCTTGGCCCTTCCACCACTAGAAGTTGGTCCAATAAAAGATATTACCTTACCTACCTAGTGTAAAAAGGTGTAAATTAAAGTAAGATGGGGACTACTTTAATTTACACCTTCTTGTACTCTACAGATTATAAATTACACCAGCTAATATTCATTTACAACTAAGTATAAATACATTAAAGAAGTCTATGTAAGAGTTTGTAAGATATACATTATGTATTACCCCTGAATTTGGCTCAAGAGTCCTGACTGCTAGTCCCTGATCTATTCTCTACAGTTTGCTTGTGTATGGTCTTCTGCTTTTTACTTCGTATATAGTCTGACTTTATCCAGGCCACTGGATGACTATACGCTAAAGCTACCCACTGTGTTAAAGGACAACAAATGTCCTTAGAGGTAAAGTGGCGCTTGCCTATCAAAATGCAAAATACTGAGAGATGAAAGAAGTAAAGCATAACTATGATATATTACAGAATATGAGACATTCAAATTCTAGTATATCTTTCTCATGTTCTGGTACCCAGAACTGAATGGCACAGCGGGATTCCATCCTCATGACAAAGACTGAAATAAGGATGGAAAATAATGCAAAGTTAGCTGCTATTTGTTAAAATCTATGGTAATCTTGTGTTCTTCTTCTGTTGCTGCACAGATGTGCAGATATTTTAATCCCAGAGAATGGCTGATAGAAGCACTGATCTAATAATTGGCAGAACTCCAGGTCAGGTAGAGATTCTTGGACCCATAGTATTTGTCATTCATGAATATTCACACATACTACTAAAAGAACTGTGTTCAGTCTGCTGTATCATGTGCAGGAAATGAACATACCATACCTTAAAGAGACAATATTAGCATTTTGCTGCACTTTTGAGAAATATTAAGGATAGCTACAAAATTCCTGTGGTGAAATCCTTCAGGGAAGACATGGAAAAATGATGATATCATCATGGAACACGTACTTTGGGAATAAAGAAAATATAGGAATTCATCTTAACTCTTTCACACAAAAAGCTGGAATTTCTCAAGGTGACCTGTTAATGCACAATTCCTCTGTGTATATGTAAAAGTACACATGCTGCTCATGACATTACATTTTAAGATTTTAAGGCCCCAATTCAGGAAAGCACTTAAATATATGATTAAGTGCTTTCCTGAATAGGAATGGAGTGTAGAATATGCTTAGAGTATGAGAATTCCCAGGCTTATATCCAGCACAAGCTCTCCTGGCAGATGTGAAAGTTATTTGTGTGGATTCTCACATCAATTGAAATCTTTAAATTAAGATTGGATCTCTTTTTAAAAGATATGCTGTACTTCATCTATGAGTTATT